CGCTCTTGTAGTCCCAGATGCTCGGGAGGCTGAGGCAGGAGAATGGCGTGAACCCGGGAGGCAGAGCTTGCAGTGAGCTGAGATCACGCCACTGCACTCCAGCCCGGGTGACAGAGCAAGACTCTGTCTCAAAAAAAAAAAAAAAAAAAAAAATAGAGATGGTGTCTCACTATATTGTCCAGATTAGTCTCAAATTCCTGGCCCCAAGCAATTCTCCTGCCTCCACCTCCCAAAGTATTGGGATTACAGATGTGAGCCACCACACTCAGCCTAATGTACAAAGTAAGTTATTGTTGGTGATTGAACAGAAATTACTCATCTTCAAGCTTCTGACATACATTAATCTACTCAATGCTTTGTACATCCTAAATTCTCAAATGTTTAAAGAAAGCAAAACTAGGAACAACTGTATAGAACTCTAGATCCATGGTAGGAAGATGGATTGCAGCCCTGGGAGATTTGGGGAGGAAAGTGCATGGTGAAAGGTGTGAAGTCATGACCAGGTAGATAAACTTCAGAGCTTCCCTTTGATAGGAGTCACAGTGTTGTATAACCTAATCTCAGAAGTTACATACCATCATTTTTGCCATAGTCTGTTAAAAGCAAGTCACCAGGTTCAACCCATATACCAGAGGAGAGGCATGCTCAAGGATGTCAATACCAGGAGGCAGAAATCATTGTGAGCCATCTCAGAAGCTGTATACCACACTCCCATTTCACAAATCAAGAAACTGAGGTACCGCCAGGCATGGTGGTGCATGCTTGTGTTCCCAGCATTTTGGGAGGCCAAGGCAGGAAGATTGCTTGAGGTCAGGAAGTCAAGGCTGCGGTGAGTCAAGATTGCACCATTGCACTCCAGCCTGGACAACATAGTGAGATCCTTGTCTCTACCAAAAGAAGGAAAGAAAAAAAAAAAGGCCAGGCGTTGTGGCTCACGCCTGTAATCCCAGCACTTTGGGAGGCCAAGGCAGGTGGATCACGAGGTCAGGAGATCAAGACCATCCTGGCTAACACGGTGAAACCCCGTCTCTACTAAAAATACAAAAAATTAGCCGGATGTGGTGGCAGGTGCCTGTAGTCCCAGCTACTCGGGAGGCTGAGGCAGGAGAATGGCATGAATCCAGGTGGCAGAGGCTGCTTGCAGCGAGCCGAGATGGTGCCACTGCACTCCAGCCTGGGTGACAGAGCAAGACTCCATCTCAAAAAGAAAAAAAAAAAGAAACAGGTTCAGAGAGGTTTAGGAACTTCCTCCAGGTCACCTAGTAATATGCTTAGGCAGGATTCAAACCCAGAGCAACTCTCCCTTTTATTTATTTATTTATTTATTTTTGAGACAGGGTCTCACTACTCTGTTGCCCAACAATGCAGTAATGCAGTGCTGGCTCATTGCAGGCTTAGCCCCCTGGGCTGATGCAGTCTTCCCACTTCAGCCTCATGAGTATCTGGGACTACAGGCACGTACTACCACACCTGGCTAATTTTTACATTTTTTTTTTTTTGTAGACAGAGTCTTGCCGTGTTGCCCAGGCTGGTCTCAAACTCCTGGCCTCAAGCAGTCCTCCCACCTTGGTCTCGCAAAGTGCTGGGATTACAGGCGTGAGTCACGATGCCTGGCCAGCTTTCCCTTTTAATGACTAAGCATATTAACAAAGTCACCTTAAATAATATTTAAGTAGTAGCTACTCTATGATGCTTACATGTTCTCTCATTTAATCTTCACAGTAGAACTACAATGTTGGTTAATATAGTTCCTATGGGTAACAGATGAGAATGGATGAATGAATCAAATGTATAGGCCAGCCACAGTGGCTCACACCTGTAATCCCATGACTTTGGGAGACCGAGTCAGGTGGATCACTTGAGGCCAGGAGTTCAAGACCAGCCTGGCCAACATGGTGAAACCCTGTCTTTACTGAAAATACAAAAATTCACTGGGCATGGTGGCACACACCTGTAATCCCAGCTTCTTAGGAGGCTGAGGCAGGAGAATCGCTTAAGCCAGGAGGTGGAGGAGCCGAGATCATGCCACTGCACTCCAGCCTGGGCAATGGAGCGAGACTCCATCTGAAATAAAAAATGTATACCTGTTCCAGACAAACTCTAAAACCATTTTTCCTCAGCTCTCACAACATAACAGTTAACACAGAAGACTTCTGTGACCCCAGGCCGGGCGCGGTGGCTCATGCCTGTGGTCCCAGCACTTTGGGAGGCCGAGGCGGGCAGATCATGAGGTCAGGAGATCAAGACCATCCTGGCTAACATGGTGAAACCCCATCTCTACTAAAAATACAAAAAATTAGCCCGGCAAGGTGGCAGGAGAATGGCATGAACCCAGGAGGCGGAGCTTGCAGTGAGCCGAGATCGCACCACTGCTCTCCAGCCTGGGCAACAGAGCGCGACTCTGTCTCAAAAAGACACCAAGCGGGTGTCTTCTCATCGATTCCGACATTATCTACCTGGAGCCAGTGTCAGATACCACAGGTCGAGGGCTGGGTCCCCAAGGCTCCACCTCCCTTCAGACACTAGTCACAAGTCCAGGCCTCCAAAACTTGTGACCAACCAGCTTCAAGTTGGAGCTCCCACCCCTGCCAACCCCTGCTTTGGGGTTCAATTAATTTGCTGGAGTAGCTCACAGAACTCAGGGAAACAATATGTTTACTGGTTTATTATAAAGGATATTGCAAAGGATACAAATGAGGACATGTGTAGGGTGAGTTGCGGGGAGGGGGGGCGGAGCTTCCATGCGCTCCCTGGGTGTGTCACCCTCCGGGAACCTCTGCATGTTCAGCTAGTTGTTTTTTGGGGGTTTTTTTGTTTTTGTTTTTAGATGGTGTCTCATTCTGTCACCCAGGTTGGAGTTCAGTGGCGCGATCTCAGCTCACTACAACCTCCACCTCCTGGGCTTGAGCAATTCCCATTCCTCAGCCTCCCAAGTACCACACCACCACACCTGGCTGATTTTTTTTTTTTTTTTGCTATTTTTGGTAGAGACAGGATTTTGCCATTTCCCAGGCTGGTCTCAAATTCCTGGGCTCAGGAAATCCAGCCACCCCGGCCTCCCAAAGTGCTGGGATTATAGGCATGAGCCACCATGCCCAGCCATGTTTAGCTACGCAGAAGCTTTCTAAGGCCAATCCTCTTGGGTTTTTAATGGAAGCTTCATGATGTCAGCATTCCTTTCCCAAATTCTCCCTCTGGAATGAGGATCTTATGACCCACTATTGGAAAGGCAGGGGAAGATGAGAGTCCTGCCTTGGGGCAGGTGAAGGGAAGAGCAGGAAGAGGCCGGAGAGATTCCTTTTCCTGACACCCACATCCTAACACAAGGCTAACGGGCTGTGGGAATTAGGAGCCAGGAACTGTGGATGAAGACTTAGAATGTGTGTGTGTGTGTGTGTATATATATACATATATATATATAAAACACCACAGTAACCATTTGCCCAAGGCCACAGAGTGGTTGAGGGTACTACCATTCCTAGACAAAGAGCGGGGACCAGTGGAGAAAGGTTTGGCCTGGCCTTGGGAGGGGAAGTGCTCTGCACAGCCTGCCTCTGCTTTCTATATTGCGGGACCAGGATGGTTCATCAGGCTTCCCTGGGCCTGCATGGAAAGACCCCTCAACAGTCTTGGCCCCTCTTAGCACAGGCCCACCTGACCACCACTGATGCCCTCATTTCACTTGCTGTGGATGGAAACCTGCATGTGTCAGGCACTGGATAGGAGTCATGCTCACACCACGCTCCAGCCACGCTGGCCTTTGAGTCCCCCAGTCTCAGAGCTTTGACCCAGGCTCTTCTCTCTGCCTGGAATGTGCCCCATCCCTGTTACCTGGTAAACTCTTACCCCTGCTTCAGCTCCCAGCTCAGATATTCCTCCCTTGGGAGGTCACTCCTGGCTGGAAGACTGGAAGACACTCCCTTGGCTGCACACTTTCCTAAGTGCACTTACGGCAGCTCCTCACCGTGCAAGCTGTGGAGGGTGCTGTGGAGGGTGAGCCCTGGGAAGCTGGCCCGTGTCCATTTTGCTCGACCTTTCATCTAGCACACGGCCTAGCAAAGAGGAGGCAGTGGGTGAGTGTTGCTATTTGTGGGATGCCAGTCAGGTCGGGGTGCCTCCTGTGGGTGATGCCAGGGTCAGCCAGCCAGTTTTCCCCAGGAGACTTCTATCCTGCAGTAACCTCTACATTAAAGTGCTAATAGGATAGAACAGAAGGGCTTCCTGACTTCCTCTGTAAACACTTAAAAGGGACTTCTGGAGACCACTCATTTTGTCATGTTCTGTCCCTGGGTAATGACTTTAGGGTGGGACTTTCTTGCGCTGAAGGATAAATAAACCCGTAGCAGGAGGGGATGCAGGATCTATTTTAGGGTAGAGGAGAGGCCTGTTTCAGAACCTTTCAAATTGCAGGGCCTATCCTGGAAGTGTAGAAAAGGGTTTTTAATAGGAGAGAAGCACTATTTCATTATGTTAAAATAATGTTTACAAAGAGTCTGTAAGAATGCTGCAAGAAAATGCACATGCTATATAATATAATGTAAATATATGCGCATATACATCTCATTTGATCTCACTTATGTAAAAATATGCATTCCTAATAATGGCTTATCCTTACTGAGTTACTTATTAAATGTCACAACAACCTTTTAAAGTAGGTACTCTTACCTCCATTTTGCAGATACAGGTTAGGTAATTTTTCCCAAGGTCACACAGCTAGTAAAGGACAGAGTTCATATTTGAAACCCAGTCCGTCAGGCTCTATAGCCCCTACTCTTAACCATTATATTATGCAGGGAGAAATCCATCAACATGTTGTCTTTGGGTGGTGGTTTATTTTCTTCTCTATTCTCCAGGATTTTCTATTTATATTTACTATAGGAGTTAAATGATAAACTTTTGAATAGCAAAGAAGGTGGGGTGGTGAAATTTGAAAGCCAAACATATGCTTTCAAACAAAAGAATTCACCCCATTTCCTTTTCCACTTTTCTACATTTTCTAGAACTGATGACCACCCCAATTTTACGGCCCACTGAGGCCCTGTCCCCAGAAGATGGAGCCAGCACAGCACTCATTGCAGGTAATAGACTCTGAGCCAACTCCAAGGGACCTTCTGGATCAAGGGCATCTCTCTCCGGAGAGAGCCTGACCAAATCCATTAATGGGCTCACCCTGGCATGCAAGTTATATTACACACACACACACACACACACACACACACACACACACAGCGCTATAAAAGACTCAGAGGCTTCTGTCAGAGGCACTACCAGTAAATGACAGGTTGGGAGGTGGCCACAAATAGATATGCATACAGACGTTACACTCGAGTACATGGGTAGGGACGAGGATATATGTGGTTGGTTGAGTGGGTGAGGAAGAGGGGGAGGATCAGAGAAACCACTTCCTGTTAGGATAAGCCATTTCCTGTTCCCTCCTTCCCGTTTCTATAAGAATCAGGAACTGGTTTGGGAGGGAGTTCAGTTTTGTCAGAAATCAAAAGCATGTGTCCTTAGCTTAACTTAAGCACCAGCAGACTCCAGCTATTATGTGCCATGGAAATTGGGGTTGGTGGGGGAACATGGTTTGGATGGAAGTGGACACTAGTTAACGAAAACAAGAGGATCTTTATGAAAACAGTGACTAAATCAGATGACTTCAGGAATTACTGAGACATCCTCAATCCTGAAACATCTCTACATTTTCCCTCTCCTTTCCAAGTTGTTATCACCGTGGTCTTCCTCACCCTGCTCTCGGTCGTGATCTTGATCTTCTTTTACCTGTACAAGAACAAAGGCAGCTACGTCACCTATGAACCTACAGAAGGCGAGCCCAGTGCCATCGTCCAGATGGAGAGTGACTTGGCCAAGGGCAGGGAGAAGGAGGAATATTTCATCTAATGACTCCCGGGCCCCAAGGAGCTTATTCCTGGCTCCAGCGCTAACATATTGACTGCTTATTACGGGAAAGTTTTCTCTGAAGCCAGGGAGAAGCATTGATTGATGTGGGCAAATCCAAGCTCCAGCCAGGTCGCAGTCCCAAATGCCGACATCACTGACTCCAGGGACCAGGGACATGGAGAAAGCTGTTTATGGTATCTTTAACCAGGCCCTCTTCTCAGAGCTGGTGTTTGTGACTGGTCAAAAAGATGGGGCTATATGAGGGGACATCTGAGTATGTGCCCAGTCATCTTTTTTCACAGGTTGAAGGGAGAGAAAAGAGTGTTAGGGCCATTGGCTGCTCTACTCTGTCCCCTACCTGGTTACCTAGTGATAGCCCCAGTGGAGATAATGTCCATACAAGGTCTTCCCAGAGGCTGGATACCACAGTAAAAGGCCAGGCCAGGAGGGGTAGGAGACTCTGGAGATCTTACCTCCTGATAAATGTGCTACATCCCCTAATCTGAGCCCTTCCTTTCCGTGTTCCCCGACAACCTCATGCTTACGTGATTTTTATCCAAATTAAAATTTTTCATTGCTACGGAAGTCCGATTCTCATGTGCAAGAAGTAACTACCTTTACATTTTGACTTATTTTTCCTTAAACATTTTTGACATTTTCTTTTCCCTATTTAATGCCTTTGCATGTGTTCTCTCCCAAGCAATAAGAACCTTAGGAAAGTTCTAGAAGTTTGCAGGACTATCTTAGGGATTTGAGACAAAGATGGTGCAGGAAAGCTTGTTCCAGAGTAATGTCATTAGAAACATACCCTGGGAAGGAAGGGTGCAGTGGCTCACGCCTGTAATCCCAACACTTTGGGAGGCCAAGGCGGACAGATCACGAGGTCAGGAGATCGAGATCATCCTGGCTAACACAGTGAAGCCCTGTCTCTACTAAAAATACAAAAAAAAAATTAGCCGGGCGTGGTGGCAGGCGCCTGTAGTCCCAGCTACTCGGGAGGCTGAGGCAGGAGAATGGCGTGAACCCGGGAGGTAGAGCTTACAGTGTGCCAAGATGGCGCCACTGCACTCCAGCCTGGGCAACAGAGCGAGACTCCATCTCGGAAAAAAATAAAATAAAATAAATAAACGTACCCTGGGAGATGAGTTGGTTCAAGCCTCCATCCTGGCAAGGGCCATAATTTCCTAGAATCCCTTCTATGTATATACAGAAGGAACCAGGAAAAATCAAGCTACTGCCTTTCCCAGTGTATCCTCAGAATCAAGCCAAGAGTTGTTGTTCACTTTGGAATTAAGCTAGGTCTCCTTTGAAGTCTTTTTTTTTTTTTTTTTTTGAGACAGAGTCTCGCTCTGTTGCCCAGGCTGGAGTGCAGTGGCCGGATCTCAGCTCACAGCAAGCTCCGCCTCCCGGGTTTACGCCATTCTCCTGCCTCAGCCTCCCGAGTAGCTGGGACTACAGGCGCCCGCCACCTCGCCCGGCTAGTTTTTTGTATTTTTTAGTAGAGACGGGGTTTCACCGTGTTAGCCAGGATGGTCTCGAACTCCTGACCTCGTGATCCGCCCGTCTCGGCCTCCCAAAGTGCTGGGATTACAGGCTTGAGCCACCGTGCCCGGCCTGAAGTCTTAATGTATTGCCTCCATTGTCCAAGCTCAAACGCAACCAAGTTAAGATTAAGAGCTGAGGAATCTGGCTGGGTGCAGTCGCTTATTGCCTATAATCCCAATACTATGGGAGGCCGAAGCAGGCAGATCACTTGAGGTCAGGAGTGTGAGACCAGCCTGGCCAATGCAGTGACGCCCTGTCACTACTAAAAATACAGAAATGAACCAGGTGGTGTAGCAGGTTGCCTGTAATCCCAGCTACTCAGGAGGCTGAGAATCACTTGAACCTGGGAGGTAGAGGGTGCAGTGAGCCGAGATTGCGCCACTGCACTCCAGCCTCGGTGACAGAGGGAGACCCTGTCTCAAAAATAAATAACTAAATAAATAAATAAGCTGAGGAATCTATCTTGACAGGCTAGATTCTATGAGTTTTCAGTATTTCTCCACATAGAACATTGGAGAAACTGAAGGTCATCCTCAACATATACAAATTGCTATACCAGAAACTTTTCTTCAAGCCAAACTTTAGAGCAAGTTAGGAGAATCAATAGTTCCTCATTTCTAAGTTTAGGTCCTAAATTCCAATATTTGAAAGAGGTTAGGGAGTAAAATGATGAAAAGTTGAACATCTGGAATGGAATTCATGAAAATGGTCAAGTCTTAGGCTTGTACTCCTGCCTTTATTTCAAAGTGTCATCAAAGGAAACAGCAGCAGCAGCACCTAGCTGAATTCTAGATGGGATATAAATAAAATATATATAGGAGAAATCTAAAAACAAGCTAAGTAAAGAATCCTTGCAGTGAGGTGTAATGCAACTTCATCACTTTATTCAAATCTTCAAAATAGTCTTTATTCTACATTTTTAGTATAAAAATTCCACAAGTTAAGTGCACCACAGTGTAGAGAGAGACATACAACGCTGAACTTCCATAACAGTCAATGGTACAGTCAAACATCACATGTACAGAACACACAATTTAGATGAACTGAAATTATAAGATAAAATAAAATAAAATCCAATTTCAGAAAACAAAAATCAAAACATTAAGGATCCCTGAAATATTCTTAACCCTAATAAGATTTCACTGGACTCAAGTCATTTTGTAGTGAGACATTCACAATATGACCCTATTAACCCAGTCTAGGAATTCTGGGGAGCCGAATGAGTGGCTGCATCAGACACTCTGACAAAAAATGGTAACCAATTTTTGATCTGAAAACTCCTCTTAATTTGGCTCTTAACACATCAATCAAGCTTTTGAAATGCATCCTCCTCCTTGCCCCTCATATTTTAAACCAACTGTTGTTCACAGTACACTTTGCACGATATCTTTGTTCAAACGTAGCTCAGTTTTTCTGGCACCAAAGCAAATTTGGGTTAGGTTCGTGTATGCAGAGACAACCTATGAGGAGGGCCCATAAGGCACCCTCCACTTTTGCCTGAGGAGATACGAAAGCAGAAGTAATGGGATCTGTGCTTGGGGCACAGAGAGGGTTTCAGAGGATCCTTGTGAAACACTAGTTAAAAGATGATGAGTGGGGAGAAGTGCGAGGAAAGAAGGAAATTAGTCTGACTGGCTTTCTGTCCTGCACCATTGATTCAATGGAGACTGGCGGGAGGAAATGGAAGACTAGGGTTGGAGATGGGATGGGTGGGGCAAGGGATGGAAAGGAAAAGGCAGACAACTAATGCGTTCCATTTATAACAAGTAATATAAATCAAAGACTTAAAGGAGATTAAAGACCAATCAGAATAATTTGGCAACTTTAATTCTTAGAAAGATCAAAGTTCCCTCCAAAACTAATTTGATGTTTTATTACTAAAAGCAAAGACCAGTATGGTACAGTATTACTTCAGAGAAATTATAGGAAAATCCTTAGGGCGGCTTCACCCACATTCATTTTATGAATGGATACCTCCCCTACCTCAAAATGCTTTAGGGAGGTACTGCTACCATTACATGGTTCCTTATTAAATTTGAAAAGTGCCTGAAAGATTGGGCACCAGAAAGACACCCCAACAACATGTGTCTAAACTGCAACTTCAGGTTAATATGACTAAAGCAGTTACATTGTGAGAAGTGCTGAAGGTATGTGATGTCTTTCCCGGCACAAAGGTGGCCTTGGTTCCTCACCAGATGGTGTAGCCACCATCTGAACCACCCATGAAGAAATTCCCCTTCCGCTGAGTTACGAGGACGTTGGCTCCCTGCATGACTGCAAGCTGAGCAGCATTGGGAGGGCATCCAGGAGGTGGAGGCTGAAAGGAAAGGATATAATAGAATGGGCACAGGGTGGCTAATATAAACAAAGGGAAGGGGACATAGGGGAAGCAGAGGCCTGTTAGGATAAGGCAATGTGCTAACCAGCTGCATTTTAAGGAGCTAGTTCCACCATCAATTTGAGTTCTAAAGTAGGTCTATACTTCATGTGAACCCAAAGATACAAAGAGAAAAGGGAGCCTACCACTCATTCAAAGGGTTCCAGCTCTAAGAGGAAGCCTGTGGCTAGCTTCTGCACATGAACAGGCCAGACCAACAGTCATTTGGAGGGTAGGGAACCACTGCCCTACTCACATTCCCAAAACAGGGACAGGGTGCCAGGCTATGGATGAATCCCACATGCTTCCTACATCGGGTTTTTTTTTGGTTTTTGTTTTTTTTTTTATTTTTTTGAGACAGAGTCTCGCTCTTGTTGCCCAGGCTGGAGTGCAATGGTGGGATCTGGGTTCACTGCAACCTCCGCTTCCCAGGTTCAAGTGATTTCCCTGTCTTAGCCTCCCAAGTAGCTGGGATTACAGGCACCCACCACCACGCCCAGCTTTTTTTTTTTTTTTTTTTGAGACAGAGTCTGGCTCTGTTACCCAGGCTGGAGCGCAGTGGTGTGATCTCGGCTCACTGCAACCTCCACCTCCTGGGTTCAAGCCATTCTCCTGCCTCAGCCTCCCAAGTAGCTGGGATTACAGGCGCCTGCCACCATGCCCAGCTAATTTTTGCATTTATAATAGAGTCGGGGTTTCACCATGTTGGCCAGCCTGGTCTCGAACTCCTGACCTCAGGTGAGCCACTGTACCCGGCCCTTACATAGTTTTTGAATAAACTACTGGATAACCGAAGGCTTCACTAATGACACATATTCGCCTCATCTCTAGCATGTAGTTACAGAGTAGTCATTTGGACTCTAAATCTCATGCACTGGGGAATTAAGTAGGAAAACATGATAACTAACACTGTTAATATCTATCTAAAAGCTACTTACTAGGGATTATACATTCTACTTTGTTAATCATCAGGGTTCCTAGTACAACACCATGCTGATGGCAAATATTGAGTAAATGCTTATGGAATGAATAAGAAGCATTACTAGACCAGTTCAGTGTACCAAAATGAACTGGAAAAGCAGCAAGTAGGACTCAATAGACATGAAAACAAAAGAATCAGGTTAACTCAGTCCCCAGTGAGATGCTATTCACTTGCCACAGTTTTGCCCCCTCAAACACTTTCTGATGAGGTCATACTCACAGGAATGTTGCCAGCAGTAGCCCCAGCTCCAAATCTGGCACCTGCATCATACCCTCCTTCCACCAGCACTGTGGAGCCAGGTGGATAGATGGGACTGACTGGATAATAAGCCATGGGGATTGTGGAACCTAAAGGCCCAACAGCCACAGACTGGGCCATGGGAAGATACAGAGAGGCTCCAGGAAATGCGGCTGACATGGTGGGGACTGTGGCAGCCCCTGGGTGCACAAAACTCGGACGATAGAGCTAGAAAAGGCAGAAGAGAAGGCAAAATGTTACTTGATTACATTCCTATTTGAGATCTCTTTAATAAGCCAATTCTTAATTCTCCTTGTGCAAGTTATACTTTTTGTAAGATCATACAAGTTGCCTTGCCACTGGCCTTCAATATTCTCCTGGATCACTTTCTGCTATAGCTAATGTTGGGCTCACAGAACGCAAATTCATCTTCTGCACCTCAGCCTG